GGCCTCACATCAACAGCAAAATACTGCAGATTGTAAAAATCTGAAACCATAAAGCAGAAATAGTCCAGTGGCGTAACGCTACTGCCGCTACCTCTGAGCCAAGAAGAACGTCGTTCAAGCCCCACCTCGGTTTATGATCGACAGAGGGGTATGTCGTGAGCAATTAGACACCCTTCTGGGGTTCAATTTACACGACCCTTTCCTTGCAAACAACAGTGCCATATTTAAATCCCCTTGTCTTATCGAAGACCCGGTGGTTATTAGGTTAACCGTAAGACTTGGGAGCCTGTTGAATCTGCTCCACCAATTGAATGAGATTGTGGCTGATCTGACAACTACTTCATTTTGCTGTCTTTTTTCCATAACCCTTTGTCTCCCTGATTCAAAATCTGTCCATCTAAGTTCAATGACCCAAACTCAACAGCCCTCCCTAATAAAGAATTCCACAGGTTCACTACCCTCTGAGAGAAGAAATCCCTCCTCATCTCTGCATTAGTTGCACGACCCCTTATTATGCCCTTTCATCCTACACTCTCCCACAAGGGGAAACAACCTTTCCAGATCTTCCAGTGTCACAAAACTTGTACGTTTCAAAAAGGTGCCACGCATTCTTCTATATCCTGACGAGTGTAAACCAATCTATGCAACCTCTCTTTGGTCCCTCCACCCCTGGTTTCATTCCAGTGAACTTTCTTTGGACTGCCTTCAATGCTTGAAACTTGAAAGGGTTCAAAAAAAGATTTACAGGGATGTTGCCAGGGTTGAATGGTTTGACCAAAAGGGGAGGTTGAATAGACTGGGGTTATTTTCCCTGGAGGGTCAGAGACTGAGGGGTGACTTTATAGAGGTTTATAAAATCATGAGGGGATGAAGAGGGTAAATAGACAAGGTCTTTTCCCTGGGGTGGGGAAGTCCAAGATTAGAGGGCATAGGTTTAAGGTGAGAGGGGAAAGATTTAAAAGGGACCTAAGTGGCAATTTTTTCATGCAGAGTGGTCATTGGATGGAATGAGCCACAAGAGGAAGTGGTGGAGGCTGGTACAGTTACAACATTGAAAAGGCATCTGGATGGGTATATGAATAGGAAGGTTTTAGAGGGATATGGGCCAAATGCTGGCAAATGGGACTAGATTTATTTAGTATATCTTGTTGACATGGACAAGTTGGACTGAAGGGTCTGTTTCCATGCTGTATATCTCTATGACACTCACTTAATCCATCTAGATCCCTCTGCAGATTTTTTGTGTCATGTTCACTACTTATTATTCCACCTATTTTTGTGTCATCTGCAAATTTGGCTACAGTATGTTCACTTTCCTCATCCAAGTCATTAATATATAGGAAATAATTATGGCCCTGGCCCTGATCTCTGTAGCACACCACTTGTTACAGGTTGCCAGCCTGAAAATGCCCCCTTATCCTTACTCTGCCTTCTGTTAGTTATCCAGTCTTCTATCCATACTCTTGTACTACACTATGGGCTCTTGTCTTATTAAGTCACCTTCTGAAACACCTTCTGAAAATCCAAACATTCCACCGTTCCCCCTTTATCGATCCTGCTCGTAACTTCCTCAAAGAATTCTAGTAAATTTGTCAGACATGATTTCCCCTTCTGCCACCGTACTGACTCTGCTTGATCAATTATACATTTATTAACTCTCTGCTATTACTTCTCTTAGAACAGATTCTAATATTTTCCTAATTACACACACTGGCCTAATGTCTCTTGTTTTTTGTATCCTTCCTTATTTAAATAAAGGTGTTACATTGGAAGTTTTCTAATCCTCTGGGACTTTTCCAGAATCTAAGGATGCTTGGAAGATTACTACCAGTGTAACCACTATCTCAGCCATTTCCTTTAATATTCTACGATGCACCGCATCAGGTCCAAAGGACATATCAGTCTTTAGCCCTTTAGTTTCCCAAACACTTTTTCTCTATGATAGTTATTGCATTTAGTTCCTGTCCTTTTGCCCCCTTGAATATTTAGTAATTTTGGGATGCTATTAGTGTCTTCTGTGAGGGCTGATACAAAGTATTTGTTTGACTTCTCTGCCATTTCCTGATTCCCCATTATTATTTCCCCAGCCTCATTCTCTAAGGGGCCTATGTTTACTCACTGGCAGTGACAGCCTGGATCATGCGTTAAAGTATCTGGAGTGAGTCTTCAATCTACAACCTCTCATTTAGGGTATGAGCTCTATTAACCTAGCCATGCCTGTAACAATACTGTGGCTTTAAGAGGTGTATTTTATCCTGGGCTTTATTTTTAAATGAAGAAAGGTTGAGACAGAGGTACACTGCTTGAGAGGTTTGGGGTTTTTAAAAAGTTGGAACAATAGAAGCAGCCTGAATGGGTGGGGTCAAGCTGCCACAGAACCAGGATTTTTAGTTTTAGCTTTCAGCAGTTGCTAGGGTCTAGATGGTGGAAGTAGAAGCTCTTATTCCTTTCATTCTTACAGCTAAAAGCTGTGGCTCTCTTCCTGCTGCTAGAATTGCATGTGGTATAATCTATTTTACTGAATTTGTCTTTGCCAAGGGTGTTTTTATGATATGCTACTATATTGGAAAAGTTAATTAGTAGTAGTTAATGTGTTTTACAGGAATAGTATCAAACAGATTTTGACACCAAATCATAAAAGAAGATAATAGTACACATAACCAAAAGCTTGGTTGTGGTGGTAGATTTTAAGCAGGATCTTAAAAGGAGGAAGAATTAGAGGGTTAGAGAATTTTGGGTGGAAATTCCAGAATTTAAGCCCTTGACAGTTGAAGGCATCGTTGCAAATGGTGGAATTTTAAAATTGTGCCATTGCTTAATTGATGGTCAATGTAGGTCAACTGGCAGAAGGGTGATCAGTGAATGGAACCAAAACTCGTCCCTCAGTTAAGTGTTAAGGCTACCCACGACAGAACAGCAAGAAATAGCTGACAAAAGCCCCAACAAGCTTTGCAGTTAATGTTTAACAGAAATCGTGAAGTGTGAGAAACACTTGTTTAATGTGTTCTCAGCACAGAGGACCATGGCTGTCTGTTTCCTCAGTAAGACTGGACGTGCAACATTCTTCATCTATCCTAAAGATAAGAACATTTCTCACCAATTAGTTGTTTCTCTTAAAATTTTGCTAATCAATCAGCTTTGATACTACAAGTAGGTTTTAATTAAGATTCTTCAAGATAATCATAGAAATAGAGTCTGAAATATTATAGTTGAGATTTAAAAAAAATCACTAGGAAATATTAGGAAGAAAGGTTTAAAAATTAATTACAAGGGGCCTCCTGTATTTCGTTTCTGTCCTAGTTAAGAGATAAAAGATCTTGGTAGTCATGGAGAGTTCAGATTTTCACATACTAAAAGGTCCCATTCAGATCACAGCCACGAGTCATTACTAACATAGAGTGATGTACTAAAATAGTAGGACAACAAAGCACTAATTAATCAATACTATACAGGAGGAGGGAGTATGTGCCACCATGTTGATGTTACAAGAAAAATGTATAAAAGACAATTTACTTGTATTTAAAATTAGAACATCATTGACTTTTCTTCTAATCTGAGCTGTAGATTAAGGGTCTATTTGAACCCACATGTTGAGGCCAGATTTGGGGTAGTCTGGTCTCTCCCTGCATTGTACTGGTAGATTCTTGAAATAAATTCCACGTCTTGATCTCTGCTATCTCTTGAAACTTTATTACCTCCATAAACCCACTTCTACAAATAGCAACTAAGTAGTGACATCTAACTGGACAGTGATTTGGTATGATGGTGTATCCAACTCCTTCTAACTCAAGGAATGAGAGATTCAGCTTTTCTTTCCTGACTGTTTCTGTCTCCTCTAAGATTTAGAGCTCAAGCGATCCAAATTGATGATAATTCCCATTGAATGATTTACCAGAATCAACACCTGTGCTCGAAATTCCCACATCCTGCAGGAATTGCATTGCTGAATCAGCACTAATATCATATTTGTAGACTTAGTTTGTTTGGTTTGCAGATTTTATATATATATATAGATAAGCTTGTCTGCTTCCTTTCTACACCTAATTTTACTTTGAAATTTCCACTTTAGAATTTCTTACTCTTGCTCTTAAGCCTCTGCCCTAACCTTGAACTTCATCTTTCTCTAGTTGTTCTCTTATCTCCCCACATGTTCACTTTGAGTATATCTTGTCCATGAGATTTGCCTCCTGTTCTCTTGATCCTATTCCCACTAAACTCCTGATGACCAATTTCTACTTCTGGCCTCCAGGTTAGCCAATATGTAAATTGCTCCT